CTACTTACATGGGATAAACCAAGAAATGTGTTAATGAACAAAGATAAAAGGATGCAATATAGGGTTCTGATCAACCCTTAACTGTTACTAATCTATACTTAAGTAAAAGTTTGCTTCTCTTTCTTTACTAGAAAAGCCTTTGGGAAAACAAAACACAGCTTAGCAGTGTTTCTCAAGGAGGCCTCAGGAAGAGAATATCTATCCATGGGATCGTGAGGCATATTCATCTCAAACTCAAAATTTCTTTGATGTCTCCTCCTACAGGTGTAAATATTATAAAAATTTCTCTTCTACCTCATAATAAATACATGTTTATCTTAATATATATATATATGTTTATCTTAAAGGTACTATTTTCTCACCACCAATTAAACAATGAAAAACATAGCAAGAATGTCTGCTATGATTACTTTGTGGTTTCTTTTTTTTCTTTAATTTATTCATGGGGTTCATGCATGTGGATTTCCAGTCATGTGACTCGTTTTTTTTTTTTTTTTAAGATTTTATTTATTTGAGAGACACAGACAGCAAGAGAGGGAACACAAGCAGGGCGAGCGGGAGAGGGAGAAGCAGGCTCCCCGCCGAGCAGGGAGCCCAACGTGGGGCTCCATCCCAGGACCCTGGAATCATGACCTGAGCCAAAGGGAGATGCCCAACGACTGAGCCACACAGGTGCCCCATATGACTCGGTTTTAGGGAAGTTTTAATAATTAAGGACTAGGAGGACCTGAATAAAGATCCAGCTTTTTGTAAAGAATTTCTCCCTTTTAATTTTTTTCATTTATTTATTTTTTTAATTTAAATTCAATTAATTAACATATAATGTATTATTGATTTCAGAGGTAGAGGTTAGTGATTCATCAGTCTTATATAACAACCAGTGTTCATTACATTACGTGCCCTCCTTAATGGGTATCACCCAGTTACCCCATCCCCCCATCTTCCTCCCCTCCAGCCACCCTCAGTTTGTTTCCTATGATTAAGTCTCTTATGGTTTGTCTCCCTCTCTGGTTTTGTCTTTTATTTTTTCCTCTCTTCCCCTATGATCCTCTGTTTTGTTTCTTGAATTCCACATATCAGTGAGATCTATGACAACTGTCCTTCTCTGACTGTCTTATTTCGCTTAGCCTAATACTCTCTAGTTCCATCCACCTCGCTGCAAATGGCAAGATTTCAATTTTTTGATGGCTGAGTAATATTCCATTGTGTATATATAGCACATCTTCTTTATCTATTCGTACTTTGTGGTTTCATGTAGTTCAGATACCTACTTCCTCCTCAAAACCTAGTTTAAGAATTATAGATTGAGAGAAATCTGGCATATTAATAGCTCCATTTATCACTTGTCTTTTTCTTTTCATTATTAACATTTGATGCCAAAAGCCTTAATCTAGCCACTTTTACTATTTCTATGCTTTGGTACTCAGAATTACTACCAAAGTTTTCTGCTTTAATTCCTCATTTACTCCATCATACTAACTAGATCTCAAAGCATGCCCCCTTCTTGCTGATTTCAGAACCACGAAACTTGTTTGGGACAAAAAGCTTCCTTTTTATGTGCAGCTTTCTCCAATCTGCTACAACGTGCCTACACCATGTGCCTGGTTTTGCCCTGTCTGGGGTCAAGAAAGAGAAAGAAAACAAGTGCAGAGCATTCCCTCATGATAATCTTAACCCAATACAACTATTTGTAGCAGTTACATTTGTTTATTGTGTCAGAATTAATTTGTTAACTTTTTATGGAAATATCACAAACAGAAAGCACAAAAATCTCAAGTGTACACAGAGCTTCATGATTTTCACCAATGTAACCAGTGCTCAGATAAAAACACAAAACTAAGTATTACTAGCATGTGGCAACTATATTTTATTTTTCTAACTCTCCTGCTTCTACTCAGCGTTTAGGTTTTGTTGTCGGTTATTTTACATAGAATGCTAAATATTAGGCACTAAATACATTCATTCAACAATTGTATGTTAAAGGCCTACTACATGCCAGGTGCCTTTCTATGCCCTGGGGATAAACCAGTGAACAAAATAAAAAAACCCGGCCCTCAATGAGCTTATATTCTTGTAAGGGTAAATGACCATAAACAAGATAAACTAAGTCAAGTATATAGTATGTTAGGTGGTGATAGGTACTAAGGAAAAGAGACTTTAAAAGCAAGAAAGGAGTTAGACTATGTCAGAGAGGGAAACATTTTTAGAAAGGACCAAAGAAAACCGTATTAAAAGATGACATCCAGGTCAAGACCTGAAAGAATGATGGGAGCTAAGGAACAATGGGAACACCAAACAGAAGAACAATCTAGGTACAAAGACCAGCAAATACAAAGGCTCTGAGGGAGAAGCATGCCTGATGTATCTGAGAAACAGCAAGCAGGCCACTGGGGCTGGAGCAAAAGGGTAAGCAGCAGAAGATGAAGTGAGATAAGCAGAGTGTAGTAGGGAGGGGACTCAGAGCTTGTGGGGCCTCATGGGTCACGTGTAAGGAAGTTGGCTTTTACTTTGAGCGAGAAGGGAAGCCACTGAAGAATTGAGAATGTGAGTTATGACCTATTTCAACAGCATCACTGGCTGTTTTACTCAGAAAAGATGAAAGGAAAAGATAGTGGATGCAGGGAGAACAGTCGGGAAACTGCTGGAAGAGTCCAGGCAAGAGCTAGTGGTGGCTTGGACCAACGTGGTCACGGCAGTGCAGAGGACAGCATGCGGTCAGATCCTGTATCCCTGCCAGGCCGCTGAAGAAGAGTTAAGAGAGACCACAAAACTGGAATGAAGCAACTGAAGAGGTCCAAGAAAACCAGGCAAGTACGGCGTCCTAGAAGCCAGGGGAAGCAAGTATTTCATGAAGAGATGAATTAAGAATCTTAATCAAAGAAGGACTGATGAGAACCTTTGGATTCAATAACAACAGAGTGGAAAACCTGAAAGGAGTGTGATTAAGAGCGAATGGGAGAAGAAATACTTGAGACAGTGTGTACAGACTTTTTTTTTTTTAAGGCATTCTGACAGAAAGGGAGGGAAAGAAACGAGGCAGCGGCTGGAGAGGGAAGGACAGGACTTCTTAAGATGGGAGAACATACAGCAGCTAGAGGAATGACCGGGAAGCGAGAGGAAAAAGGATACAGAAGAAAGAGAGAGAACTGCCAGAGCCACGAGGAAGAGACTAGTACCTAAGTGGGTGAAGTTCTCTTCTGACGGCTTCAGTTCTCTCATCGAAGGAGGAAGCAAGACGCTAGAAGCGTCAGAGGTTTGAGGAAGGAGAAAGCAGTTGTCTAGGAGTCTGGGAGGGGGATGGACCAGGGAAATAGGGTTACTGGGGAGCACTAAGGACTCATTGAGGTCAGAGATCATAAATATAAGGGGAGACCTGTAGTCCGGTTACTCTTTTTTTCTCTAAGTACATTTAGAAGTATGGGTACAAGGAAGGAGCTGAGTGTCTACAAGACTATGATTACCATGACTGCCGGTGGAATTCAGGCTGGGAAAGGAAGGTAAGACAGCAGGAGGATGAGGGACAGCGAAAAAATGCTAGATTCGAAAGACTGAAGGTCCCAACAGACTCAAGGAATTAGTGGAGTAACAGAAATTGTGATATGGAAAGATAAGAGGCGGTAGACAGAGGGGAAACTGTGTAATTGAGACTACGGAGGGATGGCAGTTTGGATAAAGACAAGGTCTAGAAATGAGCGAGGTGGGACAGAGGGCAAAAATACAGTGAAGAGGAATTCCAGGTCTGAAGACACCAGGGTACTAGAAGAATTCTCCCCATGAATACTGAATATTGAAACCACCGAGAATTGGAACACGAGGAGTATGGAGTGAGTGCCAGTGAACTAAGACTATAATCTGTTAGGAGACAGTTCCCCATGAGTCTGCCAGTTCTGCACGTCACGTGAGCAGAGGTGCAGGCTGCCATCACTGCAGACTGCCTTTGCAAGCAAGCTTGTATAAGCAAACAGCCCTGAAAAATAGAGTACCTCTCTGCAAAGCAAACAGTAGGTTTATCTACACCCATGGAAGATATGCTCTTCCTCCAGGACATGGGCAGACATGATTTGTGTCCAATATAAAAGATTCCAGTTCCTCTCCTAGAACTCAATCCACTGTGGGTACAGGTATCACCTGGCCCTCTTCAAGTCACCCTTGGGTGACTGTGGAAATTGGGACTTGGGGAACCAGTGTAGTAAGCAAATGCTGTTACTGTGTCTACTGCTTGTGCTATTCGGAATAAGTCCTTTGATTCCAACCCAGAAGTCTCCTGTCTTCTGCCAGCATCCATGACACCGTGGTAGTTAATGTGCAAGTAGCTTGCAAGGAGGGTAAATCTCAGACCTTTGAAAGTTTTTGATAAAATCCCCAGTGAATAGGAGGTGGGGATGAGAGATTACTCAAACAGGGTGGGGAGAAGGTGGTACAGTTTACAAACAAGAAATCAAGTTTGGAGGCACTTTAAAAGAGAGAATGGTCTGGAAAAAGCAATGAGAAGCAAACACCTCAAGGCTCAGCAATTATGAAGAAAGCAGGAAAACTGCCACTACCTGAGATGGTTATAGGTAGTGTCAGTAGGGAAGCCCGACTCAATTTAAAGCAAAAAAGTGAAGGCAATATTAACAAAGAGGATGAAGATAAAGAGGAATTTGCTTATGGCTGACCTTGAGTTCCACGGACATTATGAAAGATTTTTGGGAGGCAGGGAGGGGTGGGTCTGGGGATCAGATTTGGATGCACATGGTAAGAGATCCATGCATCCTGGACTTTTTGTGTGACTTACATGAACAGGAAAAAAGGGCATGATGAAATCAGCTGTGATTAATCTTAATCAGATTAAATTTGCCTATGTGTTTAGTGTCTCCCTTGACCCTGTTTTACTCATCCAATATCTACTATGGAACAATTTATTTCTTACCAAACAGAACATCATTTTAAAAAATTTAGAACATACAAGTTTTAAAATATATAAAGCCACAACTGTTATTAAGACAGTGTTAACTTACTTGAATTAGATCTAAAATGCCAAGTTCACTTTCTGAAGAATCCACACAGAAGACAAAATATAATGTTGCATAATGTCTATAAATCAGTTTGTTGTCAGATCCTCCAATTAACCTAAATGACAGAAAATTGGAACGTTATAGGAATAAAATGAAACACATTTTCATTACCTCAAGCAAACTGACAATTTGTTTAAAACCTTTCATAAGATGTTTGGGCATAGCACTTAAAGGTGTAGCATTCGGGTGCGTGGGTGGCTCAGTCAGTTAAGCATCTGCCTGCGGCTCAGGTCATGATCCCAGAGTCCTGGGATTGAGCCCCGCGTCAGGCTCCCTGACCAGCGGGGAGTCTGCTTCTCCCTCTGACCCTTCCCCCTCTTGTGCTTTCTCTCTCTCACTCTCTCTCAAATAAATAAATCTTTTTTAAAAAAAAAATAAAGGTATAGCATTCAAGTGAACTTAGAGACTTAGTGAATTAACAGAGCTGTTTTCCTCAGAGATGACAAATAAAAGAAGCTGGTGCTTAATTTTAGTTCATTAATTCGTTAAACTATCTACTGAGTACCTACCATTTGCCAGGTATTGATAGTGGGTAAGGAACAGTAAACAAATAAATAAGAAAAAATGATCAGGGTAGAAGGCACTACATAGAGATTGAAAAAAGGATGCTGCTGTACTGATGGATTTGCTACCTAAGATGGGTTAAGAGTGACATTTAGGCTGAGTGCTAATGATAAGGAGTTAGCCTAAGAAAAAATTTAGAGAAGAGCATTTCAGGCAAAGGTGCCAGCTAATAAAAAGGCCAGGTCATCAGGAACAAAATATGTATGTCCAAGGAAGAGAAAGAGGGTGCGTGGACAAGAAAATATTAGTAAACAAACAGAAGTAGGCAGGAACCAGGTCAGAGGGCATTTTTAAGTGCTTATTAGATTTAACTCCATAAGTCACTGTAAGTTATACAGCTTAAGACCGACTACCAACGAGGGAGAAAAAAAAAAAAAAAGAATGACATTTCTTAAGTTTTAGAGAAATTTACCATCAAAATCTCCTCCAAAAATACATTTTATTTTGAAATATAAATGCGAAAAACTGAGATAAGAAATACTCAATTCTTTCATCAAATATTTTTATTTACACTGACTGGAATGTCAGCATTTTAAAAATAATTTAGGACTCATTCCAAACATCTTATATTTTTCTAGCTTAGCTATTTCACGGTTACATTTACAATAATTAGTTTACCTTCTCAAAAGACTTTTAACACTAATATAAAATAAAAATCAAGGCCAAATATCATCAAAGTTAAGTGAAGACTGAAGACAGGAAAATAGCACCTATTTCTTAACTCCATAAAACTAACACTGAATTTACAGGTTCAGAGAAAGAACTTCTGTAAGTACCCACTTCTTTCATGTCTTCTTATAGCAAAAGTGGAAATGATTTTTGACAAGAATTAAAAATTACTACTATGTTAGACATATTTCTAGAAAAGATATTCAATTAAAAATATGTATGTGCAATTTAAAGAATCTTTGAGATGATTTTTATAGACTATGATCCCGATTGTTCCTGGAAAGCCACAAAAAAGCGCACTAACAGCAGGATTCAGTTCATTCTGAATCAGCAATTTAGTGATTATCTTAAACTTTTGTTCGGCTCTACTGTAAAAGAAGACCAAACTATTGAAAACTATAAGTTTCAAAATGACTGTCAATGCCATTAAAAGAAAGCAAAGATTTAATACAAGTACATACTTTGCCTTTTAAAATGTAATTTTATCTTCAAACTATAGTGCATTACTGATAAATAGTGATTCAAATTCTTGTATGGAACGCATTATACCATATAAAACCACAGGGTTTTAGAACTCCTCTTACTTTAAATATTTCATATTATAGGGGGGAAAACTGAGGTACAAGAAGTTAAGTGACCTGACCAAAAAAACCAGCTTGTTAGTCACAAAACTAGGACTGAATCAGATGTGTAGCCTCATCTCTGATGCAATGTTTGCCTTCTACTTTTTGTAAGCCTGGAAAAGAATGATCACAAATTTAAGCCCTAATTTCTAGTTCACACAATGCCCTGCTTAGAAGAGCCAGGTTCTTGCATGACCACCACATACGATGCATTGTGCTGGGTGACAAGTTCCCTATGAGAGGTTAAAATGCTAAGATGAAGAAAAGTGGTAATGGCAAAACAACTCAACTCCTGCAGAAGTGTGACAGAAATAAAGTACAATTAAAATACAAAACACAAAGAAGGTACATCTGTCTCAACTCTTAAATTGGGAGTTCTGGAGTTAATAGCAAAATTTATAAATTGTAAGTATGTATTTGCAAATGGAACTGCAGCATGATACAACCCTTTAAGAAATGCACATAAACTTTCTACATGATAAACAGTAATTTATGGTCAAGTAAGAATGAATTTTCAATTATCCAAACTATTTTTCATAATATACATCATACACATTAAAATACAGAAAAGTATAGGTCTCTCTGCTTCATATGTAATTTTTTATAACGGGGCTCACCAAAGTTTAGTTTTTGAACTTGTCAATGAAGAAATATCTTATTAAGAAATTGATTACATAAACACAAGCAGACACATTAATAAAACTATTTGAGAGCAAAATGTTTTCATGGAACCCACTAATTTAAAAGTATTTATTTAAAATAGTTGGCAAGCTAATTATAACTAATTTGTATTTATTCATTTTAAAAATAGAAACTCTATTAGCTGAATTCTACCTATATACAGATATTTCTATATATAAATATATATACATGCACACAGATATTTATTTGAAAAGCAGATTTCAGTCTCATTTATAATAATAAAATAAAGAATGTAATATAAATTTTTATGAACAGGTCCATTTACCCCAAGGAATACTCTCTAGTCATTAAAAAGAATGAGGTAGCTTTAAATGTGTTTATATGCAAAACTTTTAAAAATATTAAGTGAAAATGAGCAACATGCAGACCAGCATACCTAGTGTGATCCTGTAAGTAAAATTTTTTAAGGTTATACTTTTATATGTTAGTCAATGAAAAATTAATTTTCTAGAAGGATACACAAGAAAAGACTAAAGTCAGGAGAGGGAGAGTTAGTTTATAATTAATTTTACATGTCTCTGAAATGTTTGAATTTTTGCCATATGAATATACAACCTTTACATAAAATGCTTCTGTAACATTTTTAAGAAAAAAAAAAAGACTGCATATCTTTAAAAAATTCTTTAAGTTAGATTTATAGCTAACATAGGTGATAATTAATCTCCTAATCTAATTCATCAAAATTAGGAAATTTTTACCATAACCAATTAAACAGTATATATTTTAATCATATAGTCAAAGATTAGAATGTCCATGAAATGCTTTACTTACAATCCTCCTTCTAGGAAATTACAAACATTTTCATCTCTCTTAGATACCAAATGGAATGTCTCCCTGATGATTTGCTGTTGTGTATCTTCACTCTGAGAAAGAATAATTTATATATGTTAGGATTAAATTTCTAGGTTTAACAGCATTTTAAGAATTTTAAAAGTAAAAGGCAGTAATATCTGTCAGGGAAATTCATCAATGAGAGAGGTCCTTGGAGAGCTAACATATCACATCTCACAGAAACAAAACCCAAACATGAAGACAAGAATGACAAGACACTCTTGAGTAGAATATAAGAGGACCTGCTGAGCAGGCAAGAATTATTATAAAGCCACAGTAATTAAGATAACATGAAAGCATCATTTTTCGATGTAAAAACAAAAAACAAAAACAAAACCAACATTTTATAGTTTGCTACTACAATAAAACTAACATTTCTAAATTCCAAAAACCAAGAAGAAAAATATTAGACAGATGAATTAAAGACACTAGTAACAGGGACCCTAGATATTACCTAGTCAAAGGCCATTGTTTTACACATGAGTAAACTGAAACAGAGAGGTGAAGTTATAAATGATTCATGTAGCTAATCCATATTTTATTGGAAGGAAAATACAGAAGTTTAGAGCTCCCAATTAAGTTTAAATACAAACTGAGATGAGTCCATCCTTATTAGTCATACAAGCATAGCCTAAAACCAAAAGTTTGCTCAATAAGTATCAAATTCACCAAGCAGTTCACATCCCAGTAAAAAAGAGTCAGCTTCTCAAACACTGCAATAGAAAACTGGGCACAATCACAAATAGGAATTTCACAGGGAAGGAAATATGATGGTCCATAAACAAATGAAAACACATGGGGGGCCTGGGTGGCTCAGTCAGTTAAGTGTCTGACTCTTGGTTTCAGCTCAGGTCATGATCTCAGGGTCGTGAGAATGAGCCCCACCTCAGGCTCCGCGCTGAGCCTGGAGCCTGCTTCAGATTCTCTCTCTCCCTCTCCAGCTGCCCCTCCCCTCCTAAAAAAATGAAAAGATGTTACACCTCGCTGGTGAACTACCAATTCAAGTAACAGTGAAATAACTCCACATGCATCACATTAGCAAAGAGGAGAAGTCTGACAATATCATATGCAGACAAAGATGTGGAGCCAAAGAAACTCATCCCACCAAGTGGAAGTGTAAATGGTATCATCACTCGAGAAAAGTTTTATAATCCAGCATCTCCACCTCTAGATACTATACTAAGCCATATAAAACCACTGTTTTTGAAGATTAAAAACAAGAGAATATTGGCAATTACACATACATAATAAACTGTGTACCAAGAGGCATGTAGAAGAATGTACATCAAGGCACTGTAACAAGAAAAAAAGCTAAACTTGCCCAAAGGTCTACCAATCACAGAATCGATAAATTATGGTATATTCACATAATGGAATCCTATAACAAATAAAAATTAAAGTAAATTACATCCATAAATATGAAGGAGTCTCAAAACCGTATTTTTTTTTTTTTTTTTAGGAGTCTCAAAAACTTAATATGAAAAATAGAAGGTATCTTAGCTCGGGCTACCATAACAAAATACCACAGACTAGGTGGCTTAACTAACAAATTTGTTTTCAAGATTCCGGAAGCTAGAGATTCAAGATCAAAGTGCCACATTAAAAAAATTTTTTTTAAATAAAAAACAAAGTGCCAGCATAGTTGGTTTCTGGCGAGTGCTCTGTTCCTGGCTTGAAGACAGTTTCTTCTCATAGTGGCAAAATTCCTAAAAAAAAAAAATAATAATAATAAAATGGTCTCAAGGAGAAAGAGAAAAACTTTAATAATCCTATTATCATAAAGAGGATAAAGAATAATTTTAAATCTCTCCACCAAAAATAAATCAAGCCCTGATGGCTTTAACACCAAATGTGTCCAATGATTCCAATCTTACACAACTCTTCCAAAGCACAGATAAAGAATTAACATCCTCAATTCATTTTCTGAGGCTAACATTGACACAAAATCAGACAAGGAATGTATGAGAAATGAACACTGCAGGCCAATCTCACCAAAAAGCATAGATACAAAAATATTTTAAAAAACTAATACATCATGACCTAAATGGGTTTGTTCTAGTAATGTCAGGTTGATTTATTATTAGAAAACAGATTGATGTAATTCTCTACATTAACAGATTGAGGGAGAAAACATAGGTCACTTGAATAGATGCAGAAAAAGCATCTGATAAAACTGAACATCAATTCTGGAATAAAAAGAAAAAAAAATCTTGGCAAATTAAAAAAAGAGAACTTTCTCCAATTAAGACTATCTAAAAAACACCTTTTGCAAACATATTCACAAAATGTTTAAACAGTTTCTTCCTTTTAAGATCAGAAACAAGATAGGTTAACTGACAATGGTTTTCCTATTCAGTGCCATATCAGCTGTCATCAGTACAAGAAAAACAAGAAAAATAAATAAGAGATAAAAGAATTTGAAAGAAATAAAACTGTCATTCACAGACCTCAAGATTTTCCATGTAGAAAATCTAATACAATTTATAAAATGTGTTAAAATTAATAGATATAACAAGACAGAGCCAGCACACAAAACTGTTGCAATTCTAAACTTCTCCAACTGTCAGATGGAAGATAAAATTTTTAAAAGATACCACATACAATACCATCAAAAAACATGCAGTGCCTAGGAATAACTGAAACAAAAACATTCAAGACTTCTATGGAGAAAATACAAAACATTACTGAAAAAACCCTACTGAAAACCCTACTGAAAAAAATTAAAGAAGAGTTCAGTAAATGGAAAAATGCAGTGATTATAGATTGAATGACTCAGTATTATGAAGATACTCAATTTCTCTAAAATGCTCCGAACGATCAAGGTAATTCTAATCAAAATCCCAACAGATTTAAAGAGAAACTTAACCTGAATCTGATTCCAAAACATATATATTAAATCAGAAGACAAGAATGACAAGACACTCTTGAGTAGAATATAAGAGGACCTGCTGAGCAGGCAAGAATTATTATAAAGCCACAGTAATTAAGATAACATGATAGTGAGGCAGAAATAGGGAAACTGACTAATGGAACTGAACCATACACACACCCACAAAAATACAAGGTAATTAAATTTAAAACGTAGAATAGGCATTATAGAACAGTACGGAAAGGAAGGACATTTCCGTGAATGGTACCAGAATAAAAATTGTTGTTTTTGTTCTGTTTTAATTACAATAAACTTAGACCTCTGACATTATACTAAAAAATCACTCCAAGGATGGTTTAAAATGAATGTCAATGCTCAAACTATAAAGCTTTAAAAATATAATAGGAAAATATCTTTATGACCTTGTAATAATGCTAGACTTTTAAATAAGACACAAAGTAAGGCTAACCATAAAGAAAAAGACCGGCAAATTTGATCACACCAAAGCAAGCATTCCTGACGCTCAAAAGACACCAGAAAAAGAAATGAGAGCTACAAACACAAAGAATATAGCTGCAGTACATAAAAACTGGCAAAGGAATAGCATCCAGTATATATAAAAAACACTTCGACGTCAGTAAGAAAAACATAAACATCTCAAAATAAAAATGACTCGGCAAAACAGAACTTAGGAAGTCATCAAGAAAAGGAAATTAGAATGGTAAATAAACTATGAAAGATGTTCAACTTCATACAGGAGAAAAAGAAAAAGAAAAAAGAAAAAAACCCTACTAGTTAAAAACTACGATGACAACATTAAGTATACTTAACTATCAGTGAAGATATATAAATACGTCTATCAATATCAAGTATTGGCAAGAATATGGAGCAAGAAAGAATATTGGAACTGTAAATTGGTACAACCACTTCTGGAAGCACACCAGCATTACCTAGTAAAGCCAAACATGAACATACCCAAGGACAAAGGTATCCATTCAACTCCTAGTTACACCCTAAAGAAATTCAAAAAGATGTTTACAAGAATGCTTATAGCGGCACTGTTTGTAACAGCAAAAAACTTACAACGTAAAACGTCCATCAATACAAAAATGTATAAATAAACTGTGTTTCATTCCTGCATGGAATATCACAGAGCAATGAAAATGAATGACTAAAACTATATAAAACACCAGTAATGATCTTAGAAGTTTTGAATTTTTTCTTAAATCAAGTCACAGAAGAATATAAATACTATGATTCTACTTTTTAAAAGTTCAAAAATATGTAAAACTAAACAGTGAACTGTTTGAGGACAAAAATGTGATAAAACAAAAATGACAATGATTTTTAAAAATTGAAGGTGGTGGTGTCTCTCTTAAGTACAGAGAGAACAGGATAGAATATGAGAGGTGCAGAAAGACTTCAAGGGTACTGGTAATTTTTTTTTTTGAAAGGGGAGAGTGAACACACAGCAATTAAAAGTACTAGTTCCTATATCTTACAGATATTGAATATATACATTTATTTTGTATCTATTCAATAGTTCATAAAAATATTCAAAAGACCGAGGGAGGAAGGAAGAAAGAGCACTGTATCAGACGGCTGCCCTCTTCCTTTCTTAGGTTTGCTTGATCATCTATCTCCACCACCTCCTTCTAGTCTTCATCCAGAGCTAAACAGCGTCCCTTGGATGACCTCACTTCCCTCTTGAGACTTTGACCATGCTATCTCCCTAATCTTTCATTCTCCTATATCCCTAGTGCTTAAGAGAAGCCTATCTTCTTTTCTGAGTTGGTAATAGGTATTTCCAGCTTACAGACATTTCCAGTTATAATCCATAGTGATATTAAAACTTACATGTGAAAGACCAAAAACATCCCATTTCTTCTAAAATGTTTTTCTTTCTTTTTTAAATACAAGTGTAACTGACATACAATGTTATATTAGTTTCAGGTATACAAAAAGTGATTTGACAATTCCATACATTGTTCAACACTCAGCACAGTAAGTGTAGTCACCATCTGTCACAACTCAACATCATTACCATGTTACTGACCACATTCCGTAGGCTGTACTTTTCATCTCCGTGACATATTTACTCTAACTAGAAGTTTGTACCTCTTAACAAAACCCATTTTTATTACTATATTTCTAATCTCATTT